CTGTCGTTGTGACTGTTCAGTCAGACAACTCACGTGTTTCTTAATATGTTTATTAGAAGCAGCATATAGTTTGAGTTTGGCGTCTAGGCTCGGGCCTCATCACTCCACAGATTTACAAAGAACATTGAGTGATGATTAGATAACTATCCCCTGAGCCTACAGGTGGAAGCTGGGGGTGGAAGGTGGGCAAGCAAGCCCCAGCAACATGACACACAGGGCAGCAGACCACGTGGCAGCTTAATAGCAGCGGCATGTTTAGGAGAATGTGTTTGTTGGTTGTAAGAGGGACGAGGTGCGTCACGTGTTAATGTCTGATTGGTGCTCGAGTTGACTGCCTGAACTAGCTCGCAGGCTTCGCCCCATCTGTGCTCTCGTCAGACAACACAATAACATACCAGTGGGGGGGGTAATATTTATAAATAATACCCCATGTATAATGGTTTTAGTTTAGTATATTTTTTTGAAAAGGACAATATGTCAAACGTCTATTCATCACAACATAGTGGAAACATAGGTACTAAAATAACAAGTCAAGCAGAACATTTAAGTCTTCCTTCTTCCTTGAATGAGGAATGTCACCTTTCTCATGCCCTGTAGTTACTGAACCACAGAAAGAGCTTAAACAAAAACAGCTGGCACAGAGTTTATTCCCGTATGTAGGAGTGAAATTCAATAGTGGATTAAAGGTACTATGTGACAGGTCACTAACGTCTTTCTTTTAAACACAACCTATATTTAAAATAATTCTAAAGGTTCTTCAGCCTGAATAGCAGTAACCAATGTAAAACATATTACATTGAAATTATAGTCAAGCATCTTTTTTCTTTGCCAAGGACACTGAAGTCACTTCAGTTCCATTTTCAAAGAAAACATTTGTTCACTACAGAATTGTGTTTGTACAATGTGTCTTGAAAACGCTGTACAGTATCTAAGAACTTGACTTTTAATACAGTTAGAAACACATTGAAATCTATTTATCCAAAGGTGGTACATTTTAGATTTGGGAGTTTCGTGGTTACTGCAGAAATATGGCACTACAACATGGCAGGAAGAAGACCCGCTCTATATGTCGATGTATACTAATATATTTATTATTACTATTATATTACATTTCTGCCATACATCCCATGATTACTACACACTAGTCGTTTAAATGAAGCAGTTAATCCCAGTTGCTGCAGTGGAGGCAGTGCCTGGGGAATGAATAGTCTCTGTGGTTTACCGCCACAAGAGGGCAGCAGCTCTGAGGTGAAAACTAATCCACAGGAAGTTTTGCTGCATTGAGTACAATTATGATTCAATGAAGTGTGTGAAACTAAAAGCAAACTGTCCAACAAATTAACTTTTAACCATTTTTGCTCATACAGAATCATTAGCCACATAACACATGTCCATCATCATAAACACCTTTGTAATGTGGCTAATTGTTTAAAAAAGTTTCATAATCATTTTCTTTCCATTTCCCAGGACACATGTTCTGAACTGCACTGACCCCACATTATGCTCACCGCTTCATACTGGTCTCCAGTTGTTCACACTCCAGTCTGTTCTCCAGGTTTAGACTGATCAGAGATTGAATTACTTCCTCATACTGCTGCAGAAGTGTTTTGTTTGCAGAGGAGTGAATGGTCTGGTAAAGATCCGCCAGCTGCTCCCTGAGACTGTGGGAGGAGGACAAACAGTTACTGTCAGCAACAAACAGGGCACTTACATTTCTACCCAAAATGTAGTTTCTATTATCAAATACTAACCAGAATACTAACCAACACCTGCCTTCAGTAAAATCTCAAAATTGTATCTAGAAGCAGCATTTTTAGGCCTATTTTAGCTACATTTAAAATTTAAATGTTGTCAACTTTATCAGTAACTACATTTTATAAAACAAAAAACATATTATCATGTGTGCAACTCCTACACAGTATCACCATTAGCCTCACAGTATTGGGCTCAGCAACAGGTGGATGTACATAAAGCTCAGTAATTCCTTTACAGGCATAATTGTTAGTATATTATAGTATATGACCTGAACAGCAGCAGACAAACATACACTAATAAGCACAGTCTCTTGTCCACATGTATTAAGTTCTGCTAAAACAACTGGAGAAAATGTGTCCCTGTCATATATGTTTAACTTGCAGATCTGTTGAATACCATTGTTATGAAAACACTTCCATACAGAAGTAATGCATGTAAGATATGTGGTTGATGATACAGTAGCAGTAAGATGTTATGTTCTAAATACTAACCGTTTATAGTCAAAAGCTGTTCATATGGTTGTCAGAGGGTTTTATCTGTAGTTTTCCTTCTCCATAATGGCCACTTTGAAAGTAAGAATCCCACTTCGCATTTGCCAGTTGGATGCCAGCTACATGTACCATTAACATATAAAGGTACACCTTTATTCACTTAGTTAATTCAATGTGTATCTTTCAGTGGTGGAAGAAATACTCAGATCTTGTACTTAAGTAAAAGTAGAAAAGTGTAGGAATACTGTTACAAGTAAAAGTACTGTATTCAAAGTGTTACTCAAGTAAAAGTAAAAAAGTATTGGGACTATATTTAAAGCACTATAAGTAAAAGTGCTTGTTATGCAGATTTGCCAATTTCAGAATCATATTACATGTTTGATTATAATTATTGATACCATCATGTGTTTATCAAGATGGTAAAGGTCATATTTAAGTGTTGATCATATTGTTTATCTCAATAATCTCAGTAACTACAGGTAGCCTACTTCATAAATGAAGTGGAGTGTGAGTAGTACAATATTTAACTCTGAATTGTAGTGGGGTAGAAGTACTAAAGTAGCATGCAATTAAAATATTCAAGTAAAGTACCTCAGAAGTGTACTTAAGTACCGTACTTGAGTAAATGTACACGTTACTTTACACCACTGGTATATTTTGTGTATGTGTGGCTTATGACTTGATCAATTTGAAATAAACTATGTTTAAGTTAAAGGAAAGAGGGAAAACGTCCAGCAACAGGTTCCAGAGCAGTCCTTAAAATGACACACCATTAGCCGCTGGCTACCAAATCCTAAAGGTAAACAGGAGCGGTCAGCCGGATGTGAGTTTACCTTTCGGAGAGAAGAGACTCCGCATCAACCCTGCCGACAAACTCTTCCCTCGGACACGCTTGGTTTTGGAACGACCCAGAGCCAAAAGACGCCAGATCCAGAGTCTCAGAAACCTCTTGAAACCTGGAGGAAAACATGCTGTAGTCGATGTATCCGTCCTGGTCCCCACCGAACTTGTCGAACAAAGTTTGGATCTCAGTTTGGGACACGTTCAGCTCCCGGCAGACAACCGTGAAGTCCTCGTACTCTATCTTACCGGATTTGTTCACATCACAAGCAGAAAATAACCTATGAAGACTGGGTGGGTCCATATTTAAATTGATAAAACACATACAAAGTATACAAATAGTTAAAATTAAACCCGGCTTCTGCCACACGGACTAACTTCGGCTGCGTGCCAACACAATAAAAGCCTCCGTTAAATGTCGGAGGATCCTCTTATTGGTCCAATTTAAGTGTAGGCGGGTATTCCGAATAAAAGCACCCTGTGTGCCTCTTCCTACCTGGATTCTATCAGGTTTTTTCAGAAATATTATTTATTCGGCTTAATCCTGCTGTATGCCATCCCTGTGCGGAGTAACTCTGTAATACAATAGAAACACAACACATACGCAAGTATGTGGCTCTATTTACCTTTAAGGTGTGTGTATGAGTGTTATCAGAGATACTCCTCTTTGTTCCCTTTCCGTCTGAAGAGTGTTTCTGACGCCACCCAAAGAGACTGAATCAGCAAAAAAAGACTATTAAAACCTACAAAATGTTAACATTGTGGCAATATATATTTTTAATATTGTAAATGGACATTTCTGCTCCGTGCTACCTCTTTTGAATCAGCATAACTTTCCACTTCGAAAATAGTAATGTCATATTGTGTTACATTTTACTGCACTCATTTTCCTACACAACTATATTTTGTGTAAATATTGTCTTTATTTTTCATTTCTTACAATAATCTTAGCTTTTAAAGTTTGTAATATATTTGTATTGGTATATATATATACATATATATATATATATATATATACACTATATTCTTCTTGATGTGCCTTTGTATGCACCACTTATACCATAGCAAATTCCTTGTATGTGTAAACCTACTCGGTAATAAATCTAATTTTTATATATGTAGATTAATCAAACTGATTCATCTATCTGCATAAATAATGAGGAAATGTCATAGGGCCATATAATCCTGAGCCATTCAAATAAGAAAGTATCCATTTGAGCTTTATTTGAAAAATTAAAATAAAGTGCTTTTTATATACAATACAAAAAAGAAAAAAAAACAGTAGTGATGTATGATACAAAAAATACAATTCACAATATTTTTACATTGGCAGCTGAATTTACAAAACCATTTTACATAAAAACTCTTTTTACTTACATGTTGACAAGAGTCTGAGCCACTTGTACTCTCACAAATAGAAGGCCACACTATAAGTGGTTCATTAGGAGAAAGCAGACAACGATACTTTCACTGTGGCATTTATCGTTTAGGCTTGTATTCAAATAAAAGCATGTTCAGTACCTACACATATTTCACTAAATCACAGCCACTTTATATTTGTTCTGCAATTTAATATTTTTCCGATGACAGACACTTCACCGAAAGCTGCCATTTCTTTGTCTTTAATAACAGTCAAACCACAAATCTTTCATACTGCATGATTGATTATAGCCGACCAGTCTTTAAAATCCACATAGTTATATCTGCAGTGCCATTTACAAGAAATGTAACATAATACTAATACCTACCTATAATTCAGTATTTTTATAAATCAGCCAGTGGTTATTCATGTGCTACAGTTTTAGAATAAAATGTAGTCCCTGACTAAAGTTGAAGCCACTGTGAAATAAAAAACAAACAAACCTCATGACAGTATTAAATCACATGTATTCAATGTTTTAACTCTTTTTTCTGATCATGGCCAGTCCTGTCACACCTACAGTGTAGCATTTGACTCACAGCACTACTACCTGGTTAGTTTATCATCCCAAGAGGCACGTCTCTTGATTATTGTCTCAGAAGGCATTATTCGTTTCAGATTTATTATCAAATCCATAACCTGCATTGTACTAAGGCTTTTCAACATCATGTGCAAATCCTCTGCATTTTGACTCGAGCAGTATGCCTTCCTGCATTTTGTGGAATTTTAATTTTGCTGCCCGCATTACAACACTTGAGCCAAAGTCAAGTATCATATTGTATAAAAATGCTTTCAAGTTTTTCCGACATCTAGCTCACAAATTTGGTGGATCATATGGATTATAATTCATTATTTTGGATTAAGAAAATGGCTAATCAAGATAATTAAAAAGTACAATTCTACTAGGTGAAAATGAAAATTATTACTTTTATGTTTGTCTTTCAAACCATTTAAGCAAGCAGAGGGAGATTTTTTCCATTCATTAACTTCCATAAATGAATATGTGTATCAATTTGAGGCTATACAGATGTGTGTTATTTAAATCAGATTATGAATAGTTGTGATATTTAAATATGCTTTATTATTTCCCTTTAGGAATAGCGATAGATATTTGTAATATTACAGAATGTCTATGAACATGTTCTCTCTTTCTCTAATAAAAAACATTTGACCAATCTTCCGCACTAAAATACACAAAAATGGCTAAAATCTCTTGCATACTCAGATTTAGTGTGATGATGTGAGTGTGTGCCTGGGTGGGTGTGTGTGTTTGCAGTGCCACTGATCCTAAAGTAATGAACAGCGGCAACACCTTTGTGCTTACTCAGTGTCGAGGTGAGGTGTTCTTGGTGTTTCCCTCACTTCACATTATTTCGTTTGCATAGACTGCCTATCTCATGAACAGCATGAAAATACCTGGAATGAGATTTTTCCCTTTTTCACATTTGGTGAAAGAACCCCCTGCTGAAAGTCAAGCTTCCACAGAGAAATATTTGTATCCACTAATAATACAATACTTTACAATAAGAGCATAATGTGTCTTTATTTATGACTATATAATATTAATGTTTTTGGTGTGAAGTGATTGAGGTGGTAAGAGTTTCTACAATATTTCTATGAGGTGATTCCTTGTTTGTGTTTTCTTTCAGTTTCATATAAAATGGGTGCTTTTTTTATCAAACTTTTCAGTCTATTAGTACAACTCTCTTTTAATGTTTTCTCACTTTCTGTTATATTCAAGCCTTAAACAAGGAGTATACTTCTGTGAATGCACACTGACTTCTTTATCTTTTTTTCTTGCCTGCTACTGTATAGTTGGTGTATACTCTGGTGTGTGTTTACCTTGCTACGGTACAGTACATAGTGCATAGCCTCTGCAAAGGGTAGGCTTTTACCAAATGAGAATGAAAATATAACAGCAAAAACTGTTAGCTGTTTGTTAGTGGGAACATTTCTGAATATCTCTGTACCTTCAAAGCATTACCGGTAGATAATCTGGACGGACTGTGGCGATGCTATGAAATCTAATCTGAATTATACTTGTGACGCCTCCCCCATGCTTATTACATTCCTGTGAGCTGTTTGTGAAAGCGTCAAAATCCTAAAGGCAAAAATAGTACTTCTTCAGTGTGCTTCAAATGCACTTCAATAGGGGGAGTGACAGGAAAATCAAATGAACGTGGACCACAGGGACAGAACGAAAAAGAAAAGTGCAAAATCTGTGTAATGAAAAGTCTCTCCACGAAGAGTCCGATGAACCTCAGTTTTCCCTCGTACAGGGTTGTGTCTCTCTCAGCAAGTGCACTCTTTTCCTTAAGGTTTAAAATGAGTCTCTCCGCACATCATGAAGCCCGCCTCACACTATAGAGTCTTTAATCTCAGAGCCCAGTCTGACTCGTGGTCGTGGGCAAGTTGGAGAAATCTCTACTCGGCTTTCTTTCAAGTTCAGAAGCCTCTTCTCGGACTCTGAGAAGCTCTTGCTGTTGTCGGGCGACGAGCACTCGTGCGGAGGAGTGCCGCAGATGTAGTTGTCATTGAGGGTCTGGTAGCCCTTGTGATCTGACGCTGACGGTGTGACTGCGTTTCCGTTTAGCGGCAAGTTCTCCGCCGGTTTCCCCACTATCCTGGGCTTCTTCTGCTGCAAGTTAGGGCACTCTCCCTCCTTGAGTATGGACTTCATGTGGTCGCGGTTCCTGTAGACGACAAACAGAGAGAAGACCACCAGGGAGAAGGCCAGGAGGGCACACACTACTATCAACTCATTCCAGTAGGTCTTGGTGTTGATCTGCGGGGAGCGGGCCTGTCCTGGCAGGATGATAAACTCCTCCTGTGAGACCTGGGGCGTACGTGAGTGGCCTCTCAGGGTGGTGCTCTCCAGCTTGGCCTCGCCCCTCACACAGTAGTTTGCCAGCAGCTGTCTGAAGCCTTCCTCCACTGACCAGCACTCGTAGGTTTCCTGCTTGTCAGCCTGAGCTACCACTACCAGCCCCCCCTCTGGGCTGGGGTAATGGAAGTGACCTGAGCCCTCACTGAACTCCCACTTCCTTTCAGCCAAATTAGAGCGCAGCTTGCAAGGGAGTACTTTGAACGTGTTGGCTGGGATAATGATCACCTGGCATGAAGACATTTCTGTGGGAAGGCAAAGCAGAGACTTAGATAGAGTCAGACATGGCATGTAATAAGCTGTGCCGCCTTATCTTGAGCAGGATTCAGAATAATAAGTGTTTGACGCAATGAACACATTTGTAATCACGACTTAAATTGAAAGGCATAACAGAAAAAATCCAGTGCACAGTTGCTGCTCTGTAAATCTTTGACAGAGAGAAAAGGAGTTCACTTACTTGAAGGTGGAGGTTTAGCAAACCTTGGGCTTGGCGATGCCTTGTCGCAAATAGCTGATGTATCTGCATCGTCTACATCCTGCTGCCAGGCACTAAAACACATATATTTTTTAATGAGAAACCATCCAAGAAGAAATAGATTGTCTTAAATGAATAAAAGTGTTTGTCAGATTATTGTGCAGAGGGGATGCATACCTGCTTGGTGGAGCCTGTCTAACATCTACACACTGCTTCCCGTTCCAGGCACAGTAAGGATCCCTGGAGAGGATGCACTCCCCACAACTCTGATAATTAGTGCAGTTAGCTACTGGGACCTCCACCAGTTCAGAGAAAGAAGAAACATAAAGCTGACCCTGTGGAGAAGAGATGACAAAGCAGGGAAGTCCCCAAATACAGGTGGGTTACTAATTTCATCCAGACTCTTCCTTGTTTAATAGTTGCACTTTTCTTAACAACAACAACAACAACGTAAAAGTTATTTATTTGCTTTAATGTACTAATCCAAGCACAGAAACAAAGACAAGTCATGATTCAAGAAGTTCACAATTAGCTGTTTGCAGATCCCCTGAGAGACATGCATGTAATTAGCTGAGCATGAGGTCTTCTTTAGGCTGTGACTCTTAGTGACAAATGGAATATTTAAACAGCCAATAAATGCATTTCCAGAGCATGTTTTCAGTTCACACAGTGAGAAAGCTATGTGGAACAAACCGGTCTTATTTATTCTTCTCTCATCACTCCACTATACCTTTTCAGTGTCCAGCTCTATGTGTTGCACTGGTTGGGAATCAAGGAAGAGCGTCATCTCCTCAATGATGTGCATCTTGTTTTTGACATTAATGGCTTTGTGAATCCTCCCATCATCTAAAAGACACAGAATCGCTTGCAATTAGATCAACAAATTACACAGAATGCTACAAAAGGGTAGATGAGTTAGTTTGTGTGCAGGAAACCATTACCTGTGCCAATGAAGAGCACATTATATGCCTTTTTGGCTGCCTGGACTCGATGGACAGCGATCTGCGTGTAGCGAACGTTACGTTTCAGCAGGAGAGGCTGACTTCGGATCACGCTGTCCATCAGGAAATGATCTTTGACAAAATTCAGCACCTTGTCTGGCATGTGCAGCGACGACGAGATGCCCTGTTCTCTGGCAGCATTTGTAATACACTGTGGAGGAAAAATCACGAGTCATTTAAAAACATTCACACACATACTGTAGGACAATGTCTGACACATAATGCAAGGGCTTCAATGTTTCATTTTTTGATTGAATCAACTCTGATGAGCTTGCCAGGAAATGAAAGTGGCAGTCATTTGAAAATAATAAGGTGAGAGGTGAACAAGCTCAACAGATATCTGCTTGAGCCTTAATCGTCAGTAACACTCAAGGACGTGGCTGATGAGCAGGCAGTCACGTATGAAACTCGTTCATGCAGCTGACATGGATGTTTCTAACTGTTTCTCCAGCAGAGGGCAGCAGGTGGTTACTCACCACTCCAGGCCGAGGCTCAGGGACTGGATGATTGTAAGTGTACCACTGTTGAGTCTCTCGGTTGACTTCGCGGTATCGCCCGTTGAAAGCCTTATCCACCTGGTCCATAGTGAAGGCACACACTGCAGAGCTTCCTGAAGCACCTTTATACCTGAGAAAACATCACATTGGATTTAGAGGTTGGACTTAAAAGTTGTGCAATGGGTGCATCAGTAGCTGTGTCTTTATATATACGTGTATGCAAACTCTGTATGTACGCAAGACACGTGTTAACATGTTAATGTGCATTTTTAATATGCAGTATGTATGATTGTTATACTCTACAGAACTTCAGGACAGAGTTCAGAACAAATTATTTAGAACAATTTCATCACCTCCTATGAAAGTTACCCCTCTATTATTTTGCATTTGCACTTTTGGTTTTAATCATTTATAGTATACCTCAGATAAAGACACATTTTATTCCTCACGTGCCATATTTGTTCAAGATATCTGACAGTATAACAACATTAATTTTGTGACATGTTGCAGTGAAAGTTGTAGCTCACCACTGAGAGGTGAAGACTCCATAAAACACAGTGTTCTTCCAGTCGTCGGGGCTGGGTGTCAGCACAAACATGTCTTGGATTATGTTGAAGGGGAACCCATCATCAGGCAGAGAGCAGAGCAGCTGAGCCTTCAGGAAGGTCGTCCATTTCTTCTGCAGAACCCTCTCGCCTCCCATGTCGCCCTGCAACACAGATATCGCAGGGATGGAGCAGTTTAACATGTGGGCAGTAGAGGGTGCAATAATATAAGATTGACATCTGTCTGAGCTGAGGCGGTTGACAATGCTTCAGGAATAACGGTTTGATGCACAGCTGTGATTTGATGGGATGTGACAGGCTTGTAAAAGGCATGAAATAATGATGTGCACCGTATGGCATGTTGGCACGGGAAACCTCACATACCATAACATACAGTATATTGTATGATATATTATATTAGGAAAATAGTTCTGTCATCTACCTTCTCCATGACTAAAAACAGAAACAGAAAAAAAGCGCTGTGTCCAAAGGTGAAGCACTTTGAATTGAGGTAATTGGAAACGTTAACCTCATGTAGTAAAACCATAATGAGCTCAATCACTTGTGCCTGTTACACAGATACACCCGGGGGCAGAAGGCTTTTAGGTCATGAAAACAATATGCATCATCACAACTGGCTTTGACAAGAAAACAAGAAAAAAAACACTTGGGGCTTTGAGGAGGGCAAATGCTTTTAAATAAAAAGAAAAAAGAGGCTTTGCTCCCCGTCAATTCTTCTTCACTAACACTATGGCTCTGATGCAATGCCTTTGGCAATAGCCTTCAAAGTGATGTGTTGCATAGGACCTCCTTGACAAACAGACTCATTTGGCTACATCTTTTACCCTCAATGTTTTAAAGTATGTGATGTATGGCAGTATATTCCACAAGGAGTTTTGGGTCTCAGGAAAGTACACTAACCAGGGGCTGTACTGATTTTTACAAAAAAGACCTGACATTTAAAAGGAGGATAATAATCATACTGTCTATTTTACATACAGTTCATAGTAACAATTATTCCCGTCTTCTCCCAGGCTTAGATCTACAGTAACAAGATTAAAGTTGGCTGCCGGAAGAAAAAGCAGTTTTAAAAAAGTGCAGAGGACCAAAGAGAAATACGAAATGATCTAAAATACATAGGACCTTCTAACATGAAGCTTCAATTGATTCCACTTAAGTATTACATTAATCAGAGTAAAAGGCAGCGCTGGATGGGGAAATGAAACATGACCAATACTGAGCTTCTGAAGCAATTACTCTTTGCAGTAAGCCAGGCAGATGATTAGAAACATACAGTACAGTATGTTCTCTTTCTGCCGAAACCTCGTTTCATAATGTAAATGCCACTCTGTGCTTAAACTGACTTCTGAATAATTTAACTAAATGCATCCCATTTATTAATCCCTTGTTAAAAGCATCCCTTGTTCAAAAGGCCGTTTAAAACGCATGAACATGGCAGGCAGTAATGGCTTCTTTCTGGGAACTTTATAATCCGGCTAACTGAGAACATGCTTTGTTCTGTTTGCTCCGAGCAAAAAATGGTTTACCATTCCATAGTTAGCCTCTATGAAGTGGAACTTGTGTACTAAACACCTGAATAAACAACAAAGAGCGGACTGCTGTAGACACAGTACGTCAAACAAGGGACTAGGGAGAAACGGATTGGATTTAAAGCAACCATTTATTTGAACAGGAATCCCTGTATGGTATTACTTAAAGGAACTGACACTATCTATATTCAAATATTTTAGGAAGCACACTCCCAAAATTAAACATGTTAATTACCTCCTAACTAAAAACGAAGCATGAGTCAATATTTATATAACTGCGTTTTTAATTGGATGTATAGAAAAACTGAGAGTATAATTTCATAAATATTTGGAAACGTAACCCTTAGGCGGTCCCGACCCAACCATGTCTGTGATTCCCGGCTGGGCTTTCTATTATAAATGAATATAAAAACTATACTGGATCTCTTCATCGGAGTACAAAACAAATAACTAAAACATTATCAGTTTGCAAAAAAACAACAGGTCTTTAGAGACTCTGTTTTTTTATGAGAAAATCTCAAAGTCTCAGTGAATATTTGTCATTCTTGTACCTCGATAAACATGATTAGAAAGACAGCAGTCTGATCTGGAGAACGGGTTTTGCAAAGTTAATGATGTTTACAGAAATGAGAAGACCCTCAACGATGTTAACAAATGCTGTGTGAGGTCTGTATCTCAAAAGCCCTGGGTTTAAGTATTTGAGCAGGTGATAATCCACTTCTGTGCATGGATCTTGAGCTACAGTTATCCAAAAGACATTTCGACTTGGCTACAGAGTCCTGTCTGAGCACAAATATTTGTCTGAAACGTGATAAGATTTGAGGGAGGAGAGGATCTGGAGAAATAGAACAAACAGGGAAACATGCAAGAGGAATGTTTTTCTGTAACAAGAGATCCTGCGTCACTGCAGAGAAAGACTGTAAGCTACACTCATCATAGTCAGGCTGTAAGAAGCTTTCAGAAGGATCCTGCTGTGTGCTTCTGTATAGGAGCATGTACTGTCTATAAACACATGAAATGCACAAACACACAAACAAACCCTCTCCCTGGTCAGATAGATCCCTATAGTAATGTGAAGGGGTGTCAGGATGTATAGCTAAAGGGGGAAAAGGCCCCTTTAGATGGACTATCTCCCTTCAAGCATCACTCACCTTACACACGCGAGCGATGCGTGACACAATGGTGTTGTCAAAGAAATCAAACTCCTTTCCTGCTTCACTGAAGAAGAAGTAAATCTTATCGTCGTCGCCCACGAGGTTGCCCTTGGGCAGGCTCTCCTGTATGTAGGCAGAGCCAACAAAGGCCGGGTCTGAAAGAAAAATGACGCAAGTCAAACTACAGTAGATGAAATTCAGGCGTCTAGAGACGGACGTTCTTATTTCCTCTGACATCAAAATACTAAATGGAAAATTCAATTGCGACAAGGACACTTTGCATCTGTATAATCTCGAATGGTGTCAAATACTATTCGCATGCAGCATATCTGGCATGAACAGTTTGAGAATGTCTTCTATCTTATACAAGATATGATATCAAATGATATATTTCTTTATTAAATGACAATTTAATGAAAAGTATTGCCTTCCAATTGTACCTTGAAGCCAGTTGAGTGAGTTTTCTGTTTTCAGAGCAGTTCCTTGGCTTAGACTCTTGTAAATGATGGGTTCATTTCCTTGGAAATTACTGACTGTTCCGGCATACAGCTCCCCATCTGCAACGCAATGAAGAAGACCAGAATAATCACAGTGTGTTACCACAAGGGAATGGGCTTCTGCGTCACACACAGTAATGAAATCCAGAGGTTTTATCCCAATTTGTACATATTAGGCACCTGTATCTATTTACAATACTGGTTCTCACAGTGGTTTCAGTTAATTTAACAATTAAAGCAAAACATTAAAAAAAATACTCATTCTATCAACATCCTTGGACCTACCAGCCATGATGGCAGTGGACTTGTATTCAGGGTTAAATGGACAACGGCTTCTTCCATCTTCTGTCACAATCTCACCGGTATCACTTGTGACAAGGGAGAAGTCTGCAGAGTTCTGGGGAGCAGACACACATCACATGACTCTTACAGTAGTTGAACAGTAGAGCCGTAACCTGCTCTGACAGTGACCGCTGCCCGTCCTCACCTTCCTGAAGTGAGGAGGAGCACCGTCAGGCTTTGGGCAAAGTTGAAGCACAGGCCATGCCTGTGTGTTTGTTATGGATAGTTCTAAGTCTTTGAAAGATTTGTAGAAAAGGATTGCAAACTGGGTCCATTCTTATATAATCTGATTACATGCATTGAATATTTCCCTTCGTCACAGGAGATAATAAAATAATGTACAGACATTATACCGTGTCTAGCTGGGCATGGGCTTCAGCCAGACTGCTAAGTGTGCTGAGAGACAGGAAGCAGCATGCGTCAGAGTTTAGATGCTCTTGAATTTAATAAACAAAAAACCCACAAAGGCACCAGGGTAATCAACTTTTGTGGAAAAATACAACATCTAGAAAAACTGTGAATGACACAGCTTTTTAGATCCCCAACACATGCAGCAGTTGCACAAAGAGAGTCACTGCAACAGTGACTGATCACACAAACACTTACTATGTAAGCACATGTGGGGCTGAAGGCGTATGTTCCACACACGTACAGATGAGTGCTGTTCATTTGTAGTAAGATCTTGATGTAGTTGAAGCAATCCGTCTGTTCGGGAAAAGATTTGGGAACATTTTCATTAAAAAATGTGTAATTGTCTTTACAGCATACAACATACTTTAACAATCAGGCTGTGTTCTCTGCCATAAACCAAGCTGATTAGGCACTGTCTCCAAAACAGGTTGTATTTGTATCTTGTCATTCAAAATGTATCTTATTTCCTGTCTAAAGACACATATTAAGTCATTAAGATAAACATGACAACAAGTGATCTGCAGACTGCAACACAGTACAGGAATTAAGTTTGAAAAACTAGTGTGTTGGTACCACAAAAACTTTTATTAAATAAATAATGTGCTCCCTCTTAAAATATATATCATCAGAAATGTACGAGGTTCTGGTCCGTGTGTTTGCATATTAAAGTGGTAGTGGAGTAAGGTAACAAAGAAAGATGGTTATATAGGAAGTTTGTTTGAAAGGAAGGGAGAAATCCATTGTAGAATGGAAAGTTTTCACTTGACAGGAAATTTCCAGGACTGTGCCCTCAGCCTGTTTCCAAAGTGCCCTGCAACAATGATCAACTTGAGAACCTGCAGTCATGTAAATACAGTTAGAGCCCAGAGTTACGCTACTTGAGCTTTTACACCAACACTTGCCTGCAGGTCTTTGCCTTTGAAACTGCACTCGTCTCGCTTCCTCTCTGGAGTTTTCCACGTGAGCTGTGGGAGAGAAGCACAGTGAGACTCATCCTGAGGTATGGACTTTTGGGATCTAATCATACTCATATAACCATATTCATATTCATACCCCTGGGATCTTATTATAACTCTATTCATATTGATACAATATACTGTGAATACTGTATATTAATCTGCAGTTTACAATAGCTTGGCTCTTACATTTCTATGTAGCTTGACTGCATTGATATCCGTGAGGTTGAGAGCAAAGAGAATCTCCCGAGCGCCGACATATAGCGTGTTGTCTTCTTTACTGAGGAGGATGGAGGTATAGTTGAATACTCCCGCAACGGAAAAGCTTCTGGTTGTCCTCTCCTTCGCATCTGGACAAAAACAGACAGATAAAAGACTTAGTTCATGAATCACCCACAATAAGTTCTTGCAGAGAGGAAATGCAAAAAATAAACATTTTGATGTTTTGAGTGTGGTCATAAAATGTAATGCACGCCAAATGATTTAGATATTCTGAATTAATTAGACACATTAGCACCATATGACAAATGATGAAAATTGAAAATTACAAAGCTCAAAGACATATTATGTGGTTTATTGTTTATAAAATGGTTTGACGAGTTTGGATTGGAATAAAGATAAACCCAATAAACGTCTTCCCATCATCTACCTATTCAGAAACCTTTTCAGCACCTTTTTCTGGCCTTCATCAGACATTACGCAGTACAGAGCTGACAGTAAACAAGAACATTGGGATGGACGTACAACTAAGGTCCCAGTTGAACTTGAATAAAGGATCTTGCAAGTGCACAGCCAACTTGTCAGACCTCCAAACAACAAGGATACTCCAGAAACCTAATTTCTGTTGAATATAAACACTGAGGTCATTTCAGTTTGTTTCATTACTCACACTGTTACTGGACTTTGGCTTTGGAGAGCAATATACCTCCAACAGGCGAGCTACCACACAGCTAAGGATCTGGGTCTCATGCAGAATGCAATATACCCCAAAAATCAAATCCAGATGCCTGTGATCCTGTGGGTGTGGGTGTGTGTGTGTGTGTGTGTGTGCAACATCAAGTTCTAACTCCTGTCAGCTCCTCATTAGAAAGAGACAAATAGGATAGAACATGAAAAGAAATCTCCCAACATTTCAGTACAGTAAGTACATGATTTGCTCTGACCACATTAACGCTGCAGCCAAGGGTTAAATCATCCACCCTCCTAATCACTGCTTTAAAGGCCCATGTGTATCTCAGAGTTGCAGCAGCCTGAGGCTCTCACTGCTGGCCCAGCCTGAACAACTTGCCTTAATTGCGTGCCAGCATAAACAGAAGCAGCAAGCTGATGGAAACTTAAAGCCACTGAAGCTCCATAACAGGAGCTTGAAAAGAACAGACCTACATTACTGTTATTGAGGAAGCTCTGCTAATATTTGTTATTTTTAATGATTTGATTAGATTTTTATAGAGGAACGTTGTCTTTTATTTATTATTTACTGCATAGCTCTAAGAGAAGGCAAACAAAGGACTGAGATGGGGTGCAAGCTGAACAATTTGTTTACATTTTATTAAAGAAAAAAAAAGAGCGCAAGGCTTTCTCCAGAGATCATAATATTTTCTTGACACCTGCCCTGGGTTGGAATAAAAAACAACAATCCCCTCCCAAATATTTTGAAAAGACTGCTCAACTCTTTTAATTGTATCATATTTCATATAATGAAAGTACACATAATTTATGATAGTAGAAAGAAGATTTATACCACAATATCTTATTGGAACAATAGAGCCTAGCATAAAAAAAATAATAAAAGAAAAATCCCTTACTTGCTTTTCCAAACAAAATCAGAACCAGCTTACCTTCAGCAAAAAGAAAAACACACACTACCCTCTCCTGTTTCCAACTTCCCCCAAATCATTTTTTGTAAAGCCCCTCATAAAACTAAATATACATAAAACTCGCGGTTCTTCCAAACTGCAAGTCAACAAAAACATATCACATTATTGCATAAAGTCAAAGTAAGTTTGACTTTCGTAAGAAGAATATTCACTTTTAAAGACTCAAAAGATCCTCAGGCTTGGCAGATTCACACTGGATTACAACAACCATGCTGGTGGTAACTTCAATTATGGCACTTCCCGGCATAAAACTAGTCCAGATAGAGTAAGGTGTCATTAAACGGACCTGGTAATAAGCACATCATGTGGTCTGTACCCTGTAGTACGTGTGACCTGGTGTAACCTCAACAGGGAGGAACAGGAGGCTGAGACTTCCTCTCCCTCGGGAAAACATCATGTTAATAGCAGTCCATCACCTTGACAACAGAGAGCCAAAGTGTAGTTAAATCAGTCTGTAAAACCACAAGAGGCTCTAGGTACTGTACATGGACCCACTCTCGCTCCTTCTCACCATCATCACAGGATAAATGGAGAGATGGTAGCGCTCCCCCCTCCCCTTTTTCCTTCCCCACTGAGTCTTAAGAACTTTAAAGGAGATTTACAGAGAGAGAGACACAGACCAAAGCCTGAACCAAAACAAAAGCTTTGGGGGAATTTTCTCAGGGGTGGATATCTACACAAATGTTCTCCGGAGATGATCACCACCCTCATACTTAGCGACCACAGCTGATGAAGAAAAACAACAAGGCCCCTAATTGAGTATCATTTAATGTGCTGTTTACACGGGAAAAAAACGGGTTGTATCGGCTACTTTTCTCTTTCGTATAGCCCGTTCGTTCACACGAGGCCATAACGGAACCGCGGAAACGGACCCCTAAAACGATAATGGGTCAAGGTGGAGAGATCTGCGGACGGAACTCTCTGGGGGGCCTAACGGCTCCGTGTGTACGTCCTATACGATAATTTTCCTGATAACGATGAAGCCATAGCCCCGCCTCTCCCCACCTCTGCTACAGATGTTAGTGCAAAATCTACAGCTCCTCTACCACAACCATCAACAACAAGTGGACATGGAGAACTACATGAACTACATGTTGCTAAATCCACCGCTGAGAATAAACAGATGGGGAACCAGGCAACCATGGCAACCATGCTTGGGGGGTCTTCTTCGCTGCTTTTGGTGTATTTTGTGGTGGAAGTAAAGCGCCACTTACAGGCCCAGCATATGTACTACAGCCTCTCCAGCGGGTCGAGCGGTCTCGTGTGAAGGGACACGTTTATTGAGCCGTTTCTGTGTGAATGGAATACTTTTTTGATATCGAATTCGGTTTGTTTGCGTTTCTGTGTAAATGGGGCCTAAGATCAGGAGGAGTTTTGCAACCACACAAAGCTTTCCATTCACAATTTCAGGAAAACATGAATCTTATCTCATTAATACTTATTGGTTTACAATGCGTTATTCCTCCGAGGAGCAGGTTATTGTCAAATAGTATATTTAACATATTTGCCTGTGTTCTCTATCAATAAAAAGGTATGCTTAAATAATGAACTGGTCAGGCTTGAAATTACAAATTGTAGCAGGTGGTTTAAAGCTGCTCTAATCAATATGTTATAGCTTCAGTCTAATGTGATTAAGGAAGAAGCCTTCACTAAGCCTGTCCTACTCATGTTGGAGATACCATGATAATTCATTATGGGTTTAGAACAGGCTGACTGGCTCCTTCAACTTTTACCAATATTAACTTTTGACTCAACTACGAGGTAATTCATGGAATTAATACAGCATTGTATGGTTACTTGGAACATACCAAGAAAATATGTCAAACATACACTTGATTCACTGGGAAATGTTTCAGAAACGGAATTTGTAGACACTGAATACCTGAGGCAGCAACATAAGCTTAAAGCAATGGAAGCAACACAGTCCCGAGACCACAAACCCCAGATAGAATAACTGCTAGAGTTCGAACAGCGTGCAGACTGTAAACGATAGAACATCACGACCTAATGAGTGTATCCTTGGTGAACTTCTTCTACCCTCCTCTCCACCAATGCCACAGTCTCTGAAGAAACCCCGCTATTGTTGTTTGACTGTCTGAGGTTGATTCCTTAGGGGCCAATTCATGACAATGCAGCCCTAGAAATGTTGTGGTGTTTCAGAAACAAGCGGAACCAGACAAGACGGTTCAGAGGAAGCACTTAAGAGAGGAGGAGCAGCTGGTATCTGCTGCAGCCACAGAGACAGGCTGTCAGGGAGGGCAGCCAAGTGACCATCAGGTCAACTCCTGAGGAGAGGCAACACACAGCAACACTACACAGTGGTCATCTTCGCTTTGTAAGACCATCTTGTACATCTTGATTTTTGTCTTGTAAGGGAGAATTCAAGAGTTTGGGAGATACCGCTTCAGGATGCCATGAGTCTTTTCACTATGACCATAGAGGATATAAGTTATGTGTATGTAACTTTGTTAGTTGTGGAAAAAAGACTACTTTATTTGCGTAGTCACAAGAGACCTTTTAGTAATTGTTTAAGGGTTATATTACCCAAATTACAAAAGCATAAACAGACAAAACATAGGTAGAAATGGATAACTTCCGACAATAGATGCCACAAGGCTAAAGTAACCTATTATTGCATAACTTGTTTTGGAGGGACATTTTAAATGATAGAAAGTCGTTCCATAACCCTAGCCCTACACTTGGAAAAACTCAACAGGAGCCTAACTTTAAACTAACCAAAGACATTTGATAATCAACAGACCTTGATGTCTACATTTTTCACTGGAACTTCTTCAAACGTCTCAGTGGTCCGTCATGTTTCTAGATTATCTGTACATTTTCTGGAAAATTATTATCATGTACTGTTCAAGAGTAATTTCTATTCCTCTGAACACCATAAATACGATTTTATTCATCTCCATTTTATTCTGGATTTCTAACAACTTTCAGAGGTGGACATCATAAAAAATCAGTGCATACAATTGCAACTATCTACATCAACGTACAAATAAACTATTATAAATAACAACAAAATAGTCATGTAGATAATTACAACTGATGTCTATCTTTTTGTTCTTTGGATAGGTAATCTTTCAAAGGCAGGTGAATAATGCAGTAAGTAACTTTAGTTTAGACAACGAAAAACTAAACTCCTGTTCACTCTGCTGTCTCTGCCTGATTGATGTTGAAATGCATGTCAAAGGTTAAGCAGGTAAAGGAACCTCTGTTTACACCTCACAAAGAGGGGGCCAGCAGGCAGAGCTGGAGGACTTTACACCTCTATGTTTCACCCTTTTAGAGACCTCTGATCCAGAGAGGGCAGCTCTGTCTGGTTCAGAGCACTCCTTTGACCCTTTTTTTAGAAGTGAACACAAACAGCATACTAAGTGGTTCAACCTCTGGCAGCCGTAAGCAATAAGAGATCATTGCCATTATTATGTAATTGGACTAATTTCTGCAAATGATCCTGCTAA